ACACCTTCAGACCTTCCAATCAAATACATGTACATTGTTTTACCTTAACTCAACAATTATTTGTATGAGGTTTGCATTTTCACTCTTCTGCTTTATCTATCATACCATATCTCCTCTAAAGCCCAGACCATGGCTATAATCTGACCTAACACCCAAGTTGTGGTTAAAACTTTTCAGAAGTGAGAGTAAACCTTATCTGCTTTTTTGTAAGGTTTGCAAAAACACTTATTTCTACATGAAGCTGACATAAACAGTTTTGTTAGTGTGCACATATCTCATATATGTATATTAAACTAGCATCTTGTATTAGTGTATACAAAATGGATTCAGTTATATTCCATTTAATCCTTTCAGGTTTAATGACACTTTAAGGTAAAAAACCTTCTGCAAGCAGCACCCCTTCAACCCATACTTACCCGAGTCTGATCTCGATTCAGCAGTGTGCATGAGAGCAGCGGCTCTCCCGACTCTTTCTTACTCCTCATTAGATAGGGAGGCAGCAGGGAGAACCAGCTGTTCATCAGCCAGTGAGGAGGAAGCTGGGGGGGGGGGGTTTATTTCATCTTTAGAAACTCTTTAACCCTTCCCTATTATATCTAAAACTAGAAAACAAAAGTGCTTTTACATTTGAGTTTGAGACCCTCACCTGAGTCTATCAGCACCTTGTTAGCAGTGGAGCACTCATATACTCTCACATGCATATGCAAATGCATATACTGGGTTGTTCAGTGTCTGCTCCAGCACCCCTGCATCCTTCCAGAGGTGTACTTTATTGAGCAAGAGAACATTTCATGTCATTTATCCTGGGTTCACATTTTGGCGGTGCAGTGTATCGCATGTGATTCGCACAGGAACCACACCGCATTCCTGTGCAAATCACATGTGAATTCTATGCGGTGCAATCTGAGCCAAATAGGTGCCGGACCCTTTTTTTGTCCTCACTAGAATCGTATCACATAGATATTCACACCCATGTGATCCGATTCTGCACATCGCACAGCGTTTTGCAAACCGATTTTGGGGTGTTGTTCACTTTGTAACTGCTGTTAACAGAAGTACTGCTACAGGGTGGCACAGTTGCACAAAATCACGTATATATGTGATTTTTCATTACCGGGTAGGGGGTGTGCGTGAGGCGCCATCCGCGGCTGTCAATCACCGTATCCCGGCTGGTGATTACTCGCTGGCTCCCAGATGGCCAACCATCTCCGACGGGGGGGGGAGAATTGTTTGTTTGTAAACAAAACAGTTCTCCCTGTCAGCTATTGCACACTGCTTTGCATGGCTGTGCATAGCAGAGCCATGCAAAGCAGTGTGCTTACAGTGAAGTGCAAACACACCGCCCCATAGTAAAACAGCAGACAACAAACAATTACAGTAACCCTTTGATCGCCCCACATGTTAACCCCATCCTGCCCAGTGTCATTAGTACAGTGTCCATGCTTTTTATTAGCACTGATCACTATATTGGTGTCACTGGGGATGTCAGTGACACCAAGTCAGTTCTCCCCAGTGTCAGAATGCCTGCCGCAGCTTCGCTATAAGTTGCTGATCGCCGCCATTACTAGTAAAAATAAAAAATCCCAGTATACATATCGCCATTTGTAAATGCTATAACTTTCATGGACACCAATTAATTTTTTTACTGGACATGTTTAATAGCAAAAAGTCAAAAATATAATTTTTTTTCTCAAAATTGTCTTTTTTTTTTTATAGCGCAAAAAATAAAAACCGCACAGGCGATCAGATACCACTGAAAGAAAGCTCAGTTCTTGGAAAAAAAGGATGTAAACTTCATTTTTGTGCAGCATTGTATGACCACGCAATTGTCATTTAAAGTAACGCAGTGCCATATCGCAAAAAATGGCCTGGTCAGGAAGGGGGGTAAATTCTCTGGAAGGCAAGTGGTTAACATACACACCCGCAGCGGTTTGCATGAACGGAGTGCGATTATGGTGTGGAATTCACACAGAAACTGGTGCAAATTCCAAGCCGCATCATTCTGAACCCAGGCTTAAAGTGGAACCTAGATCTGAGCCCTGATTCAGAGAGGTCCAGCTTCCTATTATTGGGTTAATCAGGGTTATCAGAACAAAAAAAAGTACAAATGGAAGACACATGAGATGCCACAATACACAGATGTAAGATCGCTACGTATCCAGACAGCCATGCAAGTCCCGTCCTGCCTCTGGCTGCCTGGCTTAAGCTCAGATTTTATTTAGGAGGAGAGTCAAAAAGAATGTACATACTGAAACAGCTCCAGATGTGCTTATTTGGCAGTCAGTAGAAAACCGCTCACACACAAAGAACACAGAGACCCCTGGAACAAGGAGAAGACCCTGGTGCAGAGCAGCAATGGAGGATCTGCCCCTTATGAATGCTGTTCCCCTCTCTGACATCTCGCTCTTATGACATGCCCAGTCTGGCAAGTTACCAGCTCTTCTGTGGGGGACCCAGCGGTTGTGGCGGGCTGTTCCAGCTGTGTCCAGAGTACAGAGATTCATGTTTTCTGCCACATCACGGACAAGCCTGGACCTTGTGTACTGGAAATCCTGGAGGATCTAGCCATACATCCATGTGCACCTAGAAACTCTGGAGGACCTTGTGTACTGGAAATCCTGAAGGATCTAGCCATACTTCCATGTACACCTAGAAACTCTGGACTGCAAATCTCTGAGAGGGTAAGAGATCGGGTGCTAATTTTATATCTGCTTCTGAACTGTCATCTCATAATGTTATATGGGAATTTTTATAGACCAGACCTCTCAATTTTTAGACCCTTTCACCAACGAATGTAACCACTTACTGAGTATGCAGCTTCTTTATCTTTTAGCCTGGGTTCACATATGTGCGGTGCGGTATATCACATGTGATTTGCACAGGAATCGCACCGCATTCCTGTGCAAATCACATGCGATCTGTGTGAGGTGCGATTGGAGCCATATATTTTGTATGGCTCTAATTGCACCGCACCAAAAACATGCAAGACCCTTTTATTGGTCTGCACTAGAATCGGATCGCATGGGTATTCATACCTATGCGATCTGATTATGCACATTGCACCGCGTTTTGTGGAATGATTTCGGGGTGTTATTAACTTAACATACATACCCGTAGCGGTTCGCATGAACAGGGTGCGATTCTGATGCAGTGCGGAATTCGCACAGAAAACGTTGAGAATTCTGCACCGCATCAGTGTGAACCAGGGCTTAGGGATGGTTCACACCAGAACGTAGTGTGGGAAAGTTGTGTTCCGTGCACGTTTCCAACACGACTTTCAAATGCACTGCCATTGCTACCTGCATGTAGGTGTCCTTGTAATGTTAAAGGCACCCCAAACACAGATCACAAACGCAGTGCGTTTGTGGGCACCATATCCCATAGTACCACGGTACCATGTCATTTGGTGTGGCACGTTTTTTAAAAGCAGTGCATGCACTGCTTTTTCTGCGTTCTGGTGCACTTTGCAGCCCAATCCAATAAATGAGCTGCTAAATCACACCACACAGGAATGCGCGGGAATCACAAGGGAACGCGGCGCGCATTCCACTGCGATCCTGGTGTGAACCAGCCCCTAGTCCTTGCCTATGTTCTAATTTAAGCTGGTGCCATGACTACTGCCCCAGGTTTCAGAGTGGCTCCAGTCTCCTGCAGCATCCTATGGATCCACCCCTTTATTCCGGGACTAGAGCTGTGTCCTCTACACTATGTGTATCAATAGAAACACACAGCCCCAAAGCATAGGATGGCAAGGCACTGCTTTGCTATCCCCCCCCCCTTTTCCAAGCCAACAGACTGACTCCAGACCAGGGGCAGACTGACCATTTGGAAACTCGGGCACAGCCCAAGGGCCTGGGCTCAGTAGTGGGCCCCATGAGATGCCTCTGGTACCTTTTTCATAGGCTTTTTTGAGTTTGGGCAAGGACACAGGGGCCCCATGATCCCCTATTGCCCGGGGGCCTCATGAGTTGTCAGTCCAGACTCCAATGTCCATTATGAAAGCCTTGTACACACAGGCCGAAAATCAGCTTAAATTGGACAACTTTTGGCCCATGTGTACAGCTGTCTGTTCTCCTACAGAAGCCGGGCACACAATTGGCTTCTGTGGAATGGGCATGCTGGAAAACCAGCATCTTACCCGCATCAATGACTGCTAATGCTGATCAGTGTGTCCTGGTGCGGGGGAGTCTCCCTGTCAGAATACAAAGGCATGGGGGGGGGGGGGGGGGGGGGAGATCGCTGCACTAACATCACTTGTGTTAGTACTGTGATCTCTTGATTTTTTTTTTTCTTTCAGCCTGCTGGGTTGAACGACAAAAACTGACAGCATGTACCCTGCTTAAATCCTTCCTGTTAAAGCCAAACATTCAGGGAAGCAGCACTCGTAGATCAGAAGCCAGCCGCATTGAAAGTTGGAAAGTGCAAGTGCTTGGGTAAGAAATTTAACAAATAGGTTACTGAGAATGTTTATTTTATTGTGCTCATTGTGTTGAGCTAAAACACGTTGAGGGTTTAATACTACTGTAAGTAGTAATCTGCCCTGGGGAAAGACAGATGCTATCTAATTAGTAGCTTTGTGCAGCTTCTGCTCTTCTCTCCAATTTGTCTTCCGTAAATCATCTTTTTGATATCAGCAAACAGAATTGTATTTTTCATAAAAAAAAATTTGTTATACAGTACAGGCCGTGCTGAATAATATATAGTTCCAGCTGGAGTGCATCGATCACAACTGGTTGCTCACTCTGCATCTTGTCCTTTTCAGTAAATTCAAGTCTTCCTGAGATTGGAGGAGGATGAGCATCACAATCTCCCCTCCTCTGATCCCAGAGATCACATTGAAAAGAATGCAAGATGTTTTATAGAATGGATGAGCTGCCAAGCAAGCAACCCACTGTGATCTGTGTACTCCAGCCAGAACTAGGTTTTAGTGCAGGGCATTGAGCGCTGCCTGTATTATACAGAGGGAACGAATGTAAGAAGAGTACATAACACAGCAGGGGCCACCAGGGGCGGACTGACCATTTGGAAACTCGGGCACTGCCCGAGGGCCCGGGGTCAGTAGGGGGCCCCATGAGATGCCCCTGGTACCTTTTCATAGGCTTTTTTGAGTTTGGGCAAGGACACAGGGGCCCCATGATCCCCTATTGCCCGGGGGCCCTATGAGTTGTCAGTCCGCCCCTGGGGGCCACACATTGAACACACTAAGCACAGTGGCTTGGTGGATAGCACTTCTTCATTGCAGCACTAGGGTCATTGGATCCCAAACATGACACTACTTGCATGGAGTTTGCATGTCCTTCCTGTGCTTTTGTGGGTTTCTTCCAGTTTCCTCTCACATTCCAAAGACATGGTGGTAGGTTGATTGACTCCTGTCTAAAGTGCCCTAATACATGTTATGTATGAATGTGAGGTAGGGACCATAGATTGTGAGCTTGTTGAGGGCAGGGACTGATGTGAATGTACAATATACTGTTTGTGTGCTAACCCTATATATATATATATATATATATATATATATATATATATATATATACATACATACATAGATACATAGATAGATAGATAGATAGATAGATAGATAGATAGATACAGTATATATATATATATATATATATATATATACATACGGTACATACATGGGGTTAGCTCAAGTGGGGATCACCTTCCCTGGGAAATAGGCAGTCCAAATGGTCTTTCTTAAAATTCTGACTTGTTCTCAGTTTTATTTTAAAAGGTTGCAAAAAACACACTGAACAAAAATAGAAAATAAATCCTCACCATACAGGCATTAATTAAACAGTACAGATTCCTCTCTGACAGGTGATAGTCACCAAAAAAAACAAGAGTTTTGAAAACTCTTTCTTTCTCTTAGGCAGACTTGATTTTCTTTCCTTCCACCATGGGTAGAAGGCAAAAAAATCACTAGATTTCTCCATCTACACAGTGAGTATTGATGGGGGAATTCCTCCCGGGGCGCTATTCTGCTCTGCCAGCAGTGGGGGGAGGGGGGGGGGGGGGGCGGTACATGGGGAGCCTTCCTTTGGCAGAACACAATGATTACTGCTAGCGGTTATAGCCGCTGGCAGTAATTCCATGCAGAAAAATCCAACAGAATCAATGGATCGACTTAGATACAGTCAGCCTGCCCATACATGGATCTAATCTCAGCCAGTCCCTGTTGAACAGGCCAGAATTTTTATCTGTGTATGGCCGGTCATACAGAAAAACTTCCACGTGCAACTCTTTCAGGTAGTTTCCTGGGTCGCAGGCCAGGGCTCCTTTTTGCTACAGATAGATACTGATTTTAAAAAAAAGTCTACTTGCAAATAACACAAAACCAATATGATTGCATGTAAGGAATTAGGATTTTTAAAATGCAGATAATGGAGTTCAAAACTACAACAATGTAAAACAACAAAAAAAAGAAAAAAAAAAAACACTAACAAACACAGTGTCTATTATCTATAGTCCACCTTCCCAACATGTTTCATCCTGTCATCAGGGGTTCAGGCAGTTCAGCACTGACTGTATTGTATGGAGGTATTTAGAGAATTACATAACAAAGCTGCGGCTACACAACGCACACACTTTATTAGTGTTCTTTTTTTTTTCCAGTGCAAATGGACAAAAATAGTTTTGGCTGGAGTTCAGCTTTAAGCTTAGTGTAAAATGAAAGGTAAACTCCAGGAAGATATGAAAAAGCACAAAGAAATGCAGATATGAATTAAAAGGGTTAGTCCACTTTTTCAGAAAAAAATGAAAAGGTGAACTAACATTGTACACCGTCCCCACCCCCCAGTCTCCATTGTACTTACCTCTGTGAGTGATGAGCTGTCAGTGCTCAAGTAGCCAGTGTAGCTGTCTGGGAATTGAAATCCTCACTATTCTCCCTCTTCCTTGTGCAGCACTTCCAGGACAAAGCAGAGTAATGCTCTATGTCAGTGTTGACCAATCAGAATCGCTCTGATCTGTCCTGAACATGCTACAAAAAGAAAAGTGAGATTTCAAATCCCCAGGCCACTGTGCCCTCTGTAAAAACACTGATAGTTCATCACCAACAGAGGTAAATACAGAGGAGGACCAGGGGCAGGGTGTACAGTGTTAGTTAACCTTTTAATTTTTTTTGAAAAAGTGAACTTACACTTTAAATAAAAATGTTGGTATGTATTTTTAAAGCATCTGATAAAAAGATCTTGTTATTCCACTCCCAATATTTAGCATACAATTATTTTTTTTATATTTATATATATTACAAGATTGTTTTTCACTGTATGCTTTTAACAATGATGTAATACATAGTTGTTTAGAGTAGTTAAAGGCTTGCTAGAAGCCTGGGTTTAATCAGAGAGTTTACTTCAGGTCAAGCTGGAGGGCTATACAGGTCAGTCCTCTGGTACCTCCCCCTGCTCTAGAAACTTGGAGAAGCTTCCAGAAGCCAGTAGGCAGAAGTGAGGAGGGGCTGATTTGCATATTTATGGAAGTCTGACCAATTCCAGGCAGAGGGGCCTGGCAGTGTGGTGGACCAGCCCATAAATATGACAGAGCCTGGCCAGCAGGGGAGTTGGGTGGAAGATGGAGTGCTGAAAGATGTTGCTATGTAGCCTGGGAGGGCACCCGGAGAATGGGGATCCTGCCTCTAGGCTGGAGGCTGGAAGCTGAAGGAGGGAGCTCCACTGCCCTGTGTCCACCAGGGAAGAGCATCCTGCAAAGCCTGGAGAGAAACCAGCCCAACTACAAAGGCCTGAAAGCAGTTCTATCCACAGCTGCAAGACAAGGACAGTGTGAGTACCTCTACACCCCCAGGGCCTATAAGGGAGAAGTCTGCTAGATACAAGTTCTTGGCAAGTCTTCAGGGGATAGTTCATAGCTTTCCCAGTCCTGGGATCAGATACTATAGCTAGGTGGCCTGGTATTTTGTTCACTTAGGGGACTTAGAGCTCCCACAAGTTGGAACTTTGCTAAAAATCCATTCAAGGGGACCCAGAGCTCTTGCAAGTTGCTTACTTTGCTAAAAACTGTCATGGTTCTGACTGGAACACAGTCATTCATCTGCCATTTTTGTGCTATATTAGAGAAGGAAATTGTCCTCAATTTGTTTTTTTGCAATCAAGTTGGGCATCTCATAACCCCTTTACGCTTTCCAAGTTAAATCCCCTAATAAAACAAACAAAAAAAAAGCCCATGGAATGTTTCGTATGTCTGGATACAAATGGAAAATGCATGATTCCTGGCTGTGCAGGAAGTAAAGGGGAATCCAAAACCAGTGGCTCTCAAGGGGGTATCACTACATATTCATGTGCCATTCTGTACTACTGTAATAGCTGTGATTGGCCACAGCTATCACATGGTACAGGTCTGCTGTGATTGGCCCTGTACTATGTGATAACTGTGAACAATCACTGAGATCACAATAATACACAATGGCTATGAATGATAAGCCATTGTTTGTTTACAACTGACAACTGATTGCTGTGATTGGTGACAGTGGTCACATGATACCAGGGCCATGCATAGCAGCTCGGTACAACAATCTGTGATCTGTTGTGTCCTGCGGAAATGCCAGGTCACAGGTTGCGCTGGTGCATGGCCCCTATTTATTTATTTTTTATTTATTTCAGGTACTTATATAGCACCGTCAATTTTATGCAGCGCTTTACATATATATTGTACATTCATATTAGTCCCTAACCCTCAAGGAGCGTACAATCTAAGGTCCCTAACTCACATTCATACATACACGGGCCAATTTAGACAGGATCCAATTAACCTACCAGCATGTCTTTGGAGTGTGGGAGGAAACAGGAGTACCCGGAGGAAACCCACGCAGGCACAGGGAGAACATGCAAACTCCAGGCAGGTGGTGCCAAGGTGGGGATTCAAACCAAGGACCCTAGTACTGCCAGGCAGAAGTGCTAACCATTTAGCCACTGTGCTGCCCCTAGGGCGCACACAAGGCATGCAAGCATTTTACATCCTCTCAGGATCACAGAGCACCCTCCCGGCCATATTATGACAACAGGCTGGACGGGACATGGTTAAACCACTTCCCCTTTTTACCCTCTCAAGTTGGAAGGTAAGCGGTCGAGTGCCAATGCTGACAAAACCTAACATACAATTATTGAAATATACCGTACAATACTGTATGATTATCTTTATAGTTAAAAAGGCAACTAGAAAGTTTACATTTTTCCAAAAAAATACCTAAAATATTGCTTTCTCGTTGCTGTGCTTGACGTTCTTCTATGTCCGACATCCAAATTCAAGTTCTGGTCCTGCACCAGTCTGGCACGCAGGAAAGGGATTTGGTTGTAGGATGTTTTATTAGGTATTTAGGACATCATGTGGGCTCTGAATTAAAATAACCATGTATTCATTTTTCAGTGAAGGTCTTGAATTTTCTGAAAAGTTTAAACAATTTTGTTTGGCTGCTATTGGGGCTAAGTCATAAAAGGTGGACCAATGGAAAGTGAGATGGAAAAAGGGGCTTTGCCAAAAGTAATATTACCCTTCATTTCATGGAAATATTATACAAGATGTGTGCCATGGGCAACAAATCTACTAAATATTCTTATTTTCTTTTTTTTCAATTTGTTATGAATTAGTCCGTTGCCTTATTATTTAGAAACAGTGAATTTGTATGGGCTTGATTTGTGGCGACTCCTGTTTTGTATTTGCAAAACCCTAATTTAGCAGTTAATCCTTTTAAAGCATATGGGGGTGATAAATTCTACCTATTAACAAGGCTAATAAGCAAGCTATTGTAAAAATAAAAAAAAAAAGGCATAGGAAACTAGGCAATACAGCGGAGACATCGTCTTGTTTATGCAGTTTTGAAGGTGACATAGAAAATACAAAAATCTTTCAAATTACAGGTTTGGGGATTGTCTTAAAGCTTTTATTTAGGATATTTGTTTTCATATGTATTTAAATTTTTTTATTTGTATATTTTTTTCTGTATGTTTGCTATTGATGCGGTGGTTGGGCTGCACAGAGCAGAGGCCAAATATGTCTGCAATTCCTCTGCTTTGACAACATAAACTTTCTCCTCCCAGGTACTCAGGAGCCATTTGATTTTTTTTATTTATTTATTTCATTATTGTCAGGGTGCTTGAAACAAAGCTGGAGAAACTGAAATTGCACTACTTCAGCTGAAGTAGCAGTGTGATTCCTATCTGAATCGCTTGTGGTTTCCCTGCAGGTG